AATTTACTAAATCGCAAGCAATCCAGCAGGAAAAATAGCATCGTCTGCAGCGGGCTTAAGCGGGGAGCACACACTTTTGCATAAGTGCATAAGCATATGCATAACGAATTTGATTGGTCTATAAAGCCCGCTGCAGACGATGCTATTTTTCCTGCTGGATTGCTTGCAATTTAGTAAATTACTAGGAATCCTGAATGCTGAGTGGTGCAATGATAGTAATTTACTAAATCGCAAGCAATCCAGCAGGAAAAATAGCATCGTCTGCAGCGGGCTTAAGCAAATGCATAAGGAAATGGACCAATCAAATTCGTTATGCATACGTTTATGCACTTATGCAAAATTGTGTGCTCCCCGCTTTAAGACGCAGTGAATAATCAGCGAATAATCGGAACGCAGCCAGAAAGTGCTGTCCACTACCAGCGCTGACTTCCGCTTCTCTGCTTTCTACTTTCCTCTGCCCAAGGTGTGAATCTGTGTGAATCCGGCTTTAAGGTCTATGAGCTCGACAACTTGGGTCTGTTCTTTACAGCTGAACTGGCTGCACTAGTTCAGAGTTTATCTCTTTCCCTCCACATTAGAAGAAGAAAGACAAACTCTGAACTAGTACAACCAGTGCAGCTACAAAAAAGTAGCAGACCCCTTAACATAGGTTTAAAAGGAAACTGTAGTTCGTAGTTCGTACTTGGAGTGTGTTGTGGAATTATCTTGTTCCGAGATGATTCTCCCGACGCAGTATTTGCACAACGTATAAATGCGTGAGATGCACGTATGTACGTCTGCGATGACAAGATATTCCGTGATATCCTTCCTCGAATTTCTTCACGAAACGAAGAAACGATAGTACGTAATATAACCTGACAAACTGACGCTTACGTTTATCATCATTTTTATTATGTTACAACTCATGTGCGATATTTCTATATTTCTTACGTAGCTGTGATATTAGATTCTTCCAGCGAAAGACAAGAAGACGCAGTGCGCTATGTAAATCCACATAATCTCTTGCGCCACCATAGGTTTTACAGGCGAAACAATAGTTATTAAAAGAAAGGATATTTATAGCGACCTTACCAGTTCAACGTTACATATAATTTTACTAAGAAAATACTGAAAATCATACAAAGCATCTAAGAGCTACAGAAGTATTGAATTATATAACTCGTCGGTGGTGTTAAAAGTACATCGGCTCCGTTCCAGGAGTCTTTAAACCAGGAAGAAGTTCTACAAAGCAGAGTAGTTAACATAATTAAAAGAAAAGGTTTAAGTTCAATGCTCCAGTTGAGCGTGTGATATGCAATTCCATTAGGTTCATTCAAAGGCTGCAGAACTATTGAACTGTACCTGGAGAGCAGGGTTGAAAGTGCGTCAGCTTTGCGCCAGGAGCCTCTTAATTAAAGGAAAAGTACATTCTATACAACTTGATTCCAGCATCCTGAGTTTCGTCGCCGTGGCTGAGCCGCCAGTTACGAGAGAATCGTAGCTCGGACGAGAGTCCACCGCTGGGAGCCATGAAAATCAATGAGAAGAATATGGTATCGTTCGCGACCTCTGCCACGCCGGTGGATCGCGAGGGCTGGTTGAACAAGCGCGGGGAGATCAATCGTGGCTACCAGAGGCGATGGTTTGTCCTCAAGGGGAATATATTGTTCTACTTTGACCGTCGCGGTGACAAGGAGCCGGTGGGCATGATCGTGCTCGAGGGGTGCACGATCGAGCTGGCGGAGGACGAGGAGCAGTTTGGCTTCAAGGTAGTTTTTCACGGGCCGAACAACAGGAGTTACATTTTAGCCGCGGAGTCTCAGGTAAACGGACGTTTTATAGCGCTGCACCTGCGCTTGAAAAAAAAAACTTTGCTAACGAGGAACAATGGTGTCTAGGAATCTATGGAACAATGGATGAAGGCGCTGGCGTGCGCCAGTTACGACTACATGAAGCTCATGGTGACGGAGCTGCAGCGTCAGTTGGACGCCGTGGAGGAGGAAACTGCGTCTACGCCGCTTCAACAGTCTCCCAAAGCACCGCCGAGACAACGGCACAATCCGTTCAACAAGCCGGACTCCCATCATCGCTCCCAGAGCGTCAGGTCGGCGCCCGGTAGGACGGAAAACGTACCTCGGACTAGAATAACGTTTCGCGAACTCCACACGGCCTACGGCAGGCGAATCCTGGCGGATCTGAACGAGTGGAGGCACGCGAGAAAAAGTGCGGAGGCGCCTTTAATAACACTCTAACTTTGTATATATTTCGTGTAGATAACATTGAACAAAGTACGCTTGTACACAATCGGTGAGAATTGCTGGCCCGAGGTGTTAACGCACTGAAGTAATCGGTAGAAAATAATTTGTCTGCGTGTAGTATGCGTGTATGCGTGCGTGTACAAATGTAAAATTAATTTATTCAGATAAAAATAGATTTCTATTCTTAAAGTTTAATGCTCTCTTCGTTTGTAATACTTTGCAGAAGGTTCTTCCGAGCAACTTTGCGAGCAATGTTTAAACTACCACGAGATTACTACGATAGATGCGAGAGATGATTGCGTAATAGGAAAAACATTAACCACGAAACGATAAGAGAATGATTTGCAGGTTTAAAATTTTTTTAATTATCTATATTACCGATATTATATTCTTTTTGCAGTCATAAACACCGCATGCAAAAGATAAAAACGCAAACGCTTCAATATTTTAGGATATATATATATATACACATATATATTCTAAAATATATATATGTTACAAGTTTTACATTTATATATAATTTAAAAGCTATTTGTACAATTTACTTTGGACAACAAACAAATGAATTCACAACGCGCGTAACGTTTCAATACCATAATAAATAAATTACTATGATTACACACAAGTCGTCAGTTGTATAAATTACTTATTTAAATTTAAACACGCTTTTCTTTCTCGCGTCTCCAGGAAGATGTCTGGTCCCTAATAAAAGGCGGGCCTTATCTTCTTCCTGCGGCGCGGATTCTTCGGGCGGCCCTCTCGGTTTTATTTGCAACTTCTGTTTAATCGCTTGGCTCAATATCACACGCCGGGAATCGCTCTTCATGGCTAGAAGCAGATCGAGCCATGTCCACGTCACGTTATGGTATTCCAGAGTCGGTATGACCAGCGCGAAGTCACGCACGTCTTCGAGGTTTTTCTCCTTGTTTCCCTGTAAGAATAGCGTTTAAAGGATAATTCGTGGACAAGAGTAACGGATAGGAATTTCTTTGCCGGTTTATCGTAAAGCACTACCTTATACGACACGCGAACAGGTACTTCCGGTATCTTAATATATATGAATAATTTGTTCTTGTCCGCTCTTTCTTTCATCTTCTCCACGTCGTCTCTTCTCTCGATAGGTACGTAAAAGGACGAATCACGTTGTGGCGCTGGAGTTTCCTCTATGCCTTCCGGATCTCTCTCGGGGAAACAAAACTTGAGCATAGTATTGAAAAACTTTTTCGTCAAACCTGAAGAGGAACGAAACGATACATTATATTACAATGTGACTATACTGAAGCGAAGTAGATTCAACACACGTCGTATTTTACCAACCTATCGTAAGAGGTACCACGTTGATCTCAAAGTGTTCCTTCACGGAAATCCCCGCCACCGGCGCCTTCTCCCTGCAGAAGACTCGAAGTGCTCTCTGCCGGTCTACAGGCATGTTACTCTGTAGTTCCGTGGGCACCAGTACCTCCGTGTAAATCTGATTCGGCAATAAATTCGTCATCCGGACGTACCCCAGCTCCAGCAGATGCTCCACCGAGTCGTCGGTCTTGCTGGTCTTCGTGTAAAGAAAATTTGTTAGAATGAGATCGGCGATGCCCAACTGACCGTCCGCATCCGTCAGCCTCCACTGCGCGTGTTTGAAGCAAATCTCAGCTACCCTGGCCACCGCGGCCGGCTTGTCCTTGAGCGTGGTAGACGCGGCCGCTGGCGCGGTGGTTTCCTTGTAACAACTCAGCATCACGTCCAATTCTTCCGCCTTGGCGCCAAGCTGCTCCTTGCACTCGAACACGCTCGCCTCCAGACGTTCCATCTCCGTCAACAACTCCGGATTGGACTCGTCGGCGAGAGCTTTTTGCACCAGGTACGTCTCGCGTTCCAACCGCCTCAGCTTCGCCACCAAGCCGCGCACTGTGTTCTGCAATTGCTGTATCGGCCTCTTCTGGTCCTCGACCGAGTGCAGCTGCAGCTGAAACCTCATCCTCTGCAACCTCTCCGAGGCCTCCTTTCGCCTCGGTTCCACATACAGCAGCAAATTATTAACTACGTCCAGGATCATTGCGTATTGCAACGAATTGGTGCACACGTCCAGATCGTGGTGCATCAAGGTGAACGCGTCGGCCGCGGTCAGGTCCTTTCTCTCCCACGGGCTGACCTCTTCTCCAGGCGGAACCGGCACCAGATCCACGGAGCCCACGTCCAAGGTCTGGCCGTAACCGACGTAAAAAAATTCACACTTGCACCGGGACACTATGCGTTGCAATTGATGCTGAGGGCCGCCACCGCCTCCCACCGTCTGAGTGACCACACCGCCGACACTCTGACCAGATCCCACCAGAGCCGGGACGTCCGGCAGGCCGGCTATGATGGTGGAGTCTTTCTCCTAAAATGTAACACAGCAATGTATAGCTCGCTCCACGCATGATACGATATTTCGTGCAATGAACGCACTTGTATGTTATCCAATGTCAGCCACATAATGTTGTCGTCGATATTGTCGTCGATGTTTGCGCTCACAGTGGCGTAGTACTGCATGCACTCCAACGAGCCGACCCAAGTCGTCTTCGGGACGAGAGATCGCTCCTTCCAAACCGGACGATGAACCCTCTGCAATATTTCCGCTTTGGCCGCCGAGAGGATCACGTAACCGCGTGTCTCGATGCCTTTCAACAGCACCTGGCTGTTTACCAGAGCAACTAAAAGGAATATAAATTAAACAAATAAGACAAACGCTCGTGTCAAGTGAAAAGAAATCGTCAGGTCAACAGCAAAAAGTTTAGACGAGCTACATAAGTGTTAGAAAAGAAGATTTTAATGTGTGTGATAAATTATACTAATATTTAAGTGGATGCGTTTCGAACACAGTGTTCTTCAGCAACACGTTAATATAATAAAATATGAATTTGATAAGTCAATACATAACATTGTGCGAGTACAATTCAAAAGTGTGTAATACAATAATTAAAGGTATAAAAAGATGTATGCATAAATCTCGAAGAACAGTGTGTATACGGATTGACGTGTGTGAAATTACGATGACCGTACCGATTTGATTATGGATATCGATGAAAATATGTCACCTTATGAGAAATCTTCAGTTGTATCGTTGTTGAAATTAAGACAGTGTAGAAGTTGTTGGTCAATTAATGATAATCGATATGGAAATCAAGAGGGCAAGCGAATATGGTAACGTCTGGTGTTCTACAGCGCTGCGGTGATACTTAAATATAAATTTATTTAAACCTTGCTCGTTTCTATGCCAAACGCAAAGTATATGTCGTTGCTGTCCATGAATTCCCCTGAAAAAAAAAACGTTACATACTCAGCCAGTTCTTGTGCAGAACGTCGTCCTGGTGACACGCCGCCAGCCCGCGCAGTTGCTGTCCCCTGGTTTGTACCGACAGATCGTCGCTGAAGGCGACGGGTTTATTCGCGGCCTCCGCTATCAGCTGCTGCAGCATCCCCGCCGCCTCGCCTTGTTGCGGCTTGACGGAGGGCGACGGCGTGACGACCTGCGTGGAGTTGCCCTGCTGATCGACCACGTTTGGCCGTGCGGCGGCACGATTTTTGTGCGGATTGAGCGTCGAACTGTTGTCCCTGTGGAAACCCTTGAGCGCCGCGGTCGACAGATTCTTCTTCAGCTGCTGGGTCGTGATGAAGGAGTCGAAGAGGGCGAAGGCGACGTCGCGGTTGGTCTTGGTCCAGGCGCCGCGCAGGTCGTGCACGACCAGCCGGTGAATCGGCGTGTCGCCGCTCACCCCGACCACCATCGCCTCCCTGCCGTAGCTGACGCGCGCCACGCTCAGGCAGTAGCACTTTTCGACCGGCTGGCGCAGAGACGCGCTCTCCACCTCATCCTCCTGCAGGGCGCTCTTCAGCCAGATCTCGGCGTCGCTCAGCTCGCAGTTCATGTACACGATGGACCATTCCGCCCGCGGCCGATGGATCAGCCCGTCGTCGATCGGATGTAGCGCGAGATTGTGCTCCGAGCTGCAGGCGACCCGGCCACCGGTCACCTCGAAGCCTCGCTGCATGGCGAACGACATCCAGTAGTTGACGTGGAAGCGATGGAAGGCCAGGGTCAGCCGGACTTTCCTGTAGTGCCTGCTGAGCTGCTTCTTCCTGGGTCGAATGTTCTTGAACAGCGGCCCTTTCCTCGTGGGCCTCGTCGCGCCCGACAGAATGAACTTGAGATTCTCGAACCACCGCAGCGTGCTGCCGTAGAGCAGAGCCGTTGGCGCGCTGGTCAACGTGGGCGAGCCAGTCGGCTTGGTCTCCAACGAGAGGCTGACGTTCAGGTTCTGAGAGCGAAACGCCCTGAACGAGTCGTGCTCTTGATTGCTCGAGTACTCGGGCAATCGGTCCGGGGCGCAAGGTATAGCGGCGTGATGATCGCGCGGATCGCCCAGGCACACCCACGCCAGTTTAACGCTCAATCTAACGTTGGGCAAGTGCAGTAACCGGCAATCGTCGTATTTACTGGCTGTACGCACGTACACGTCGAGGTCGCCTTTGATAATAATCTTCCCCTGCGTCCAGTCGAGTTCCAGCCCGGTCCACGTGAGCTCCATCTCTTCTGTGGTGTTGTACGGGTCCAGGGAGCCGTGCAACAGCACCGTCAGCTGTTTCACACAGAGCGTCAGTCTGCCGTGAAGGGCCAGTCGCATCTTGTCCCAGAACGGCAACGGCGGGCTCGGGTCCCGCGACGGATGGAGGATCTTCTCGAAGCTGAGATTACACTGTGCTATAACTGGCTCCCAACACGGACCGAACGCGTATCTGAACTTGTCGATGTCCCAATTGAGATCGTGATAATACTTGAGAGACGTCATTCCTCTCTCCACTACGATATCCTCCCACGGGGCGCCGATCTCGATCCTCACGGTCCGCTTCGCCCGCGGCGGCGCCAGAGCTTCCGCCCCGGCTAGTCTGCCCCACACATTCAGATTCTCCACCAGGAGCAGCGGCTGCGGGAAGTCGCGAAGCTGGAGCTTCCACTCGGCGCATTTCAGGCTGATTCCGCGGACCCACACGGCGTTGAATTCCAGACCGTCCTCGGGCCACGGCGTCTCCGAGTCCATCTCCCGGAGCGCTCGCACCGCCCTCTCCGTGCCGTTGACGGACGGATCGGCCAGAATCAATACCTCCAGGTCCAACATGGTCCATGCGAACAATCGAGTCCTCGCCGGGCCCGCCCGTTGCATCTGCTTCCACCTCTGCACGTAGATTTCCGCGTTCTTCTTATTCAAGCTGGCGTACAATTCCTCAACCTTTCCCTGCGGCAGCAGCAGGTGCGCGCGGCAAAGCTCCTGTACCTTGGCATCCAGCATCGCCTGCCGCTTCAAGCTCTCTTTGTACTCGTCCTCGAGCAGCTCGTAATTGTCGCGCAAACGCACCTCAAACGGATCGTCGCTCAGCTCGAACGTCCACTCCTTGATCTTGATGATCAGATCGCAAGGTAGCGACTCTTGTTTAGGTATGCTCGAGGAATGGATTTCCTTCAGCCACCTCCTGATGCTGAGCAGTTCATTCTGTATCGCGTTTGTAAACTGATGCTCGTACGGAAAGCAAATCTTGATGGAGTCCACGTTCAGCGCCCAACACTCGTTCCAATCTAGCACGAAACCCTCGTTGCTCTGCCTCTCCGCTCGCACTTCCGCGTTATCGGCTATTCTAATCAATTCGAAACCTTCGATCATAATCACATCGGCCATATCCAGAGTGACTCGGACGTAGGTGAGTCTCCATTCGCCCTGCGACCAACGCAGCTGATCGGACGTCAGTATTAAAAAGTGTTTAGTGGAAATATCTATGGAGACAGTAATTCCACCTGTGGCCAGAAGGTCCAAGACGCGTTTCTTCTTTTGCACTTCTAGGAAACGAAGCAAACGTAATTAAGAGTTATTATTTATACACGGAAATATGAACTGTAAATTAATAATTTACAAATTGCGTTTATAACGAAACGAGGGCTTTGTTACCTTCGATACGAGTCGTGCTCATCTCTTTCCTGACGATAGACCTAAAGTCCTCAGACTCCACCCAGAATTGCAACAGGCGAAGATGCAAGTTAGGACTCCACGCTAGATTAGTGCCGTCGAGACTGATGTTCACAGCGTCGGAATTAATCGCAGCTTTGCACTTTCGTATCGCCAGAAAGGGATGCGTCAAGGCTTGCGCGTGCTGGCACATAATCGGCTCGTTTTTGTTGAGAGTAATCGCGCTCATACCTTCCGCCACGCCTACAAACCGCTTTGCGCTTTGCTCCACAGTCGCCACGTCCAAGCGCATCATTATGGATACTAAAAACAGATGTGAGTAATGTGAGAAAAAATTCTCTCGGGGGTAGCACAGAGAGAGCACTGTTAAATACATCTTACGCTCATTCTCCGCGATAAAGAACAGATTGCAGTTTGTCACTTTGAGGTTCAATTGAATAGAATTGCGCGATATTATGTCTTCCTTCTTCACTATCGGTTGCCGATACCTTTTGTAGCACCTACAATAATTCTCTTGCAATCGTCTCATCCACGTTATTATATTTTTCATTTTACAGTGGAGGAAAATCCCTTATTATGAGATAGAATCCTAATATGGGATAGCGGGGTTTCTGTAAAATTAATAGGCATCATCAGTTGATTCCACCAATTTATTGCCCTTGGAGCAAAGTCTGTTTAGCGGAAAATTCATTGTTAGATTATGTAATCGCTGCGAAAAACGATTTGTAATTGAATTTGGGTGGTGAAAACGCGCTATCTCATATTAGAAACTTATAACAGAGGACTTTCCTCAATTAATATTGCATTAACGATTTCGTTATTACTTGTAAGCTTGCTCGAGAAATTTCGCGAGCTCCAAGCTCCATTCCGTTATGAGAGCATCGACTGCGATTCCTATAGCGTTGCTACGAGTTGTCGCCAGCAACACCCCGATGGAGAGCGGGGTACCCCATTGGTGAGAAGTTTCGGAGATGCTGCCATTCGCCCCGTTCAACGCGCAGTATAACGACTCGACGACTAATTCCGTGTTTAGATTCTTGGCTTTGTCTATCACAGAAAATGCAAAACGCAGAGAGATTAACGATTTTACCAGACGATTGAAGCAAAGGAGAGAGAGAAAAAGAGAGAGGGGGGAGAGAGCAAGAGAAAAGCCCACCTGCGCACGAATTCAAGGCAAATTTCATGTGCGCGACGCCGCAATATGCCTCCTGCACGTCTGGCAATTTTACGTTCAACGAGGAATCGTACAGCTCGGCGTTTAACGTTATCTCCAAGTTCGGCAGTCTGTCCTTCAACGACATACCGCTGACAGGCTTCGAGTTGTCGTTTTCATTGCTGTACAGCAACAACTCCCAGTCTCTGTGGTCGTACAGCGCCGAAAGATTATTCAGCTGTACGTCGACGCACAAAGCGTTCTCCTCCATCTGCACAAGATCGAGCACGAGAAGGCGCCGTTAAGAGCTGTCCACTCCTATCGTTTCACCTTGGCGCCAACATATTTTTAATCCTCACCTTCGTATCGATCGACAGCGAGTGTAGAGTCAAAATGGGAAGCTTCCCGCGGACACACAAGCCGTCTAGGCCCGCGGTGAAATTCAATCGCGTCCTGTTAGCTTGAAACTTGGCGTGGACCTGAAGACTCTTCAAGGTACCCTCCAAGCCTACCATACTGCTATCCTCTCTACCAGCTATTATCAACGAATTGCCGACTTTCAATGTGAAATCCTGCAAGTTTAACGGAGAGCGTAGATAATTGCAGTACTATCCGTCGTTTTATCCTGCAATCTGGAGACTTACCTTTGGCAAGACGGGTGCTATTCTAGCCATCAAGTTATTGGACGAGTTGTTATGTACGTTGGTGCATGTGCAAGCTGTGGCATTAAGCGAACTCCTGTCTTTCAGGAACTGAATGAGACCCGCACCGCCGGAACCTTCAGTTTGCGTCACTCCAATGCACAGTGTCTATAAATCAGATCCCACTTGATTCCTTTATGAAAACGGTCGACTATCAGACACTCGCTTGTTAAAAAACTCTATTTACCACGAGGCTAGCAAAACGTAGATTACATTTATAATTCTAAGTGACAAGACAAAACGCTACACGATCTTCCCTCATCGACTTTCAAGCGTCAAAGCAACAAACTTTCGACATTGTACCTCGACTGAAAGTTCTCCCTGAGCCTTAAACGTGGCTTCTATCGTCCCGGCGAACGTTATTTGAGAGAGACACGCGTCGGAGGCGTGCCGCAGCAATTTCATGGTCCCACCGACGATAGAGGCGGACGCTAACAGAGTGCGTGCACCGTGCACGATACTGCCGTCCAGGCTCAGACTCTCCGCATTCCCATTTGCCAGCCAGCCGTTGCCGAGAGCCAGTAGACTTATGTTCTCCACGTGCACAGCTGTAAACTGAAGTAAATCGTGAACTAAGTTCGTCCAATAAGTTTCGCAACGCATGGAAAAGGTGTGACGCTTCGAAGCCTCAGCTCCGCGCGTGTACCTGAACGCATTTGATTATGATCGGAGGTATTTTCTTGTTTCTAAAATCTAACAGCTCGTTGCTCTGCTTCATCTTACACGTCGGGCCGACCGGGACGTCCTTATTTATCCTGACGTCCCTCATAACGACAGCCAACAATTTCGCCACGTCGCTGCTAAGTAAGCTGCTGCGTATGCTTATCTCCTCGATTTGCTGAAATCGGACATCGCTTTTATTGTACCGCGTCACGTATAGAACCTGAACCGTTCGTACGGCTTGAAAGACTCACCAGTGTAAAGCCGTTTTTCGTTACGTTGACATCACGGAAGATAAAATAGGGTACGGATATGTGGCCCACTCTTAGGTGAATTTTATAACGACGTTTCACTATCCACGCCAGGAGCCTCGGTACCACTCTGTCGACAGCAGACAATCGTGACGCACAACCATTCTGTTGGAGGCTAACGTTATTTCGCATGTAAAATTCGACGCTTGGCTTACCGGGTGAAGAAACAGTAGAGGATTAAAAAGACTATGCAGAACGCAAGTAACCCAGTCATGCTGTTGACGTATAATTAAAAACGACATGTAATTAACAAATTGTTTCCTAGCTAAAAATACATTGGACCACCCGAATAATATCACTGCGGACGCAGCCGGACATTCCGCGCTTACATACTATTTATTTTCACAGTATTTACAATTAAAAAAGGCTCGGAGAAAGAACGAGAGAGCCCTCGACAGTTTTCAAAGAATGACATGAGCATTGGTACACGACGGCGACTGGTGGTGCATTTTACAAACCGGTAAGAAACTCTGTCGGTACCATAGAACTTAATATCTCATGGAAGGGGAATGGGGTGAATCAGAGCTGCTTTCGCGAGAAGATCAAAATGATCCGGATTAAAATGACCCTGTGCTATATTGTATAAATGGATTTATGTAGGGTCGGCACATAATGCGTGACGGAAACACTGTTTCGTGGCCTCAGTAAATGTAGGGCTAAATGTATGTATATAATTTGTGGTAGCCAACACTAGGCAAAATAGTGCGTACTCTCAAGAATTTGTTTTAGTCTATCGTTGGACATATATTTCTATGTAAAATAAATGTCTGTTAAAAAAGTATCCACTATTAACCACGTATCCTTTTATTTGATCTAGTTAAATATTTCGTATATTACATAAGTAACGGAGGAATCTTCTCTGATATTCAACTCCATCTTTTTACTTGATCATTAAATGCGACTACGTTACACACAATGTTTAACGATACAAATGATCAGCATGGATATTACTAGCAATTTCAGATTCCCACTTATCCCCATTATTTAAAAGTTTCTCCTTGTTGTACAGCATTTCCTCGTGAGTTTCGGTTGAAAATTCGAAGTTGGGACCCTGCGTATAAAACAATTCGTTTATTAATATTTTATATTTCCTTTTCTTATATCACTCTTTCTTATCATTCTAATTCTTAGCAAGGATAATACCTCCACAATAGCGTCTACCGGACAAGCCTCTTGGCAAAAGCCGCAATAGATACATTTAGACATATCAATGTCATATCTTGTAGTCCGTCGAGATCCGTCTGCTCTTTCCTCCGCCTCGATTGTAATAGCTTGCGCAGGACATATCGCCTCACATAATTTACAAGCGATACATCTTTCTTCCCCAGACGGGTACCTAAAAAATCCCCAAATGGCATAATAAGTTTAACACGCTTAAATATTTTATACTCGGAGAAATTTTACTTATTACATTTATTTCTTTTTCCCATGTTGTAACGTTGATGTTTGTATCAGAATAAAATGTCTTGAAAATTTGGAAATCTAAGCTGTAGCTAATTATATTATATCCAATAATTTTGAAAAAGAACATAATAATAAGATAAAAATATATGCATATGTACAAAGAGTATTGTTCGTAATATTATTCGGATAAGAAGATTCCGACATATACAGAGAGTTACATAGGGAAAAAGTAATATTTATTAATGAATACTATTTTACATAATAAGCTTATAAATTGCATTATACTATAATACTTTATTGAATTGATTGTAATATAATCAATACAGTTCAATTGATGAATTATATTTAATTGAAAAAATTATTCATTCTTATTTAAATAATATTCACAAAAAGATTTACTATCGCCAGCAATATAAAACCAATGATACGTTATTAAAACTACCTACACTGGTCAATGTTTTTATTTAAAAATAAACTAACGACGTTTCGGTCCAGGATTTGGACCCTTCTCAAGTATTCTGTAAACATACATAACTTAACACAAAAAAATAGTGTTATAATAATTATAAATATAGTGTCGGACCGAAATGTCGTTCGTTTTTTTTTAAATAAAAACGTTGGCCAGTGTAGGTCGTTCCAATAAACTATCATTGGTTAAATAATATTCTTCAATATGCGGATCTTTTACTTTGATTACTTTCTCTACGAACATCTTGCGTTTAATTTCACTATTGCTTCTGATGATTTCGTTCCATGTCTCTTATAATCGCTTTCACATATTCTTTTAGGAGACATACGTGTAGATGTTAATAAATACAACATCAGCTTAAGGACAATTCAAGATAGCTCAATAAACGTCTCAATAATTTTAATTTAATATACAATACACGCAATTACAACCGATACATTGCAAAAATAGTTAATTGTTCTAATAAAATCATTTATATATTCTGTTACATTTTGTAATTGTTACTTATGATTTTTCCTCTAATTCTCTTCCGGTTTTTGTTATAACTTTTTATAACTATTGTGCTAAAACAACATGGAAATACACTATCGGAATAAAGATATCTGTCATTCAAATAATTATGAACGGTTCTGTATATGTATCAGTATAAAAATGTTTTGCAATGTATTTTTGGTTTGCGTATATGTATACATACCTTCTCAAAGCATGCTCTCCCCTAAATCTCGGGCTTAAGGGACCCTTTTCAAAGGGATAATTTATCGTCGCTGGCTCTCTAAACACCTGCGACAAAATAATTCCAAAGCCTCGAAAAAGCTCGTGGAAAAACATATGCGTAGACGCGGCTTCCATAATATCTGTCCAGTTCTGCTCCTTGTCCTCTCTTACATAGTAATATTTGTTCCGACTCAGGTATACACTTACTCCCTTCGGAGCAATCCTGAGAAATCTTGGAGCTGAAACATTTATGATTCTCAAAATATTGTTACGAACTACTACAGACATTCATTAAGGAAATTCTCTCTGTTACCAATTGAACTACTTATACATGTATTTAACAAAAAAAATGAATAAGGTAATAAAATAAAAGTGGTAAGCAGGAAATGATTCTATGTAAACTGTAACGCATAACGTAACATAGGCGATCTTTAAATTTAGTAAATATCGGACGTCTGGTGTTCATACAATGGTTAAAAAGAAAAAGATGAAAGGGTAACACTGCGACCTGACACAGATAAGAGAAAGGGACAGAAGGAACAGAAGCAGAATAACCATCAAGATTAGGTTTATCACAGCAATCATGTGAATCCCATACCGAGTTTTCCAGATAGCGTAAATATCTGCAAGGGGCCCATCATTACCACCCTTGTTTAGAAGTCGACAAGGTTGACCATTCACGTTGGTTCGTCAACGATTTCTCCGAGGATATTTATTATACAGAATATTAACAAAATATCATACTAAAATTAACACACTACGTACATAAATGCGGCACCATGCCATGATGTAACGCCACAGATGTCGCGTTAATACGCGACGCGTTTACACGAATGCCGCTAGAGTTAAGGCCAATGTCCACGATGCTAGAACTTGGACACAAGGCTTAAAGCCCGTATCAGACTCATAGGCCTAGTTTACATCGTGCACTTGATACGCGCAGAGAGAAGCCTGAGAGATGTCACGGCCCCGTTTTTCGTGATACGCGAATGCGATACGCCCTCTGTGGACATTGAAAACGTGGACATTGAACTACGTAGCCAATTTGCACATTTTGCTAAGTGGGTAACGCAGATTTGCACAATTTTAGCCCCGTCCCGCGCTATGGTTAGATCCCATGCAA